GGGCTTTAAAAATTCAATCTCTAAGCCCGGCCCGTTGCCACCCCTATTTGACTGAAGCTCAATGTAAGACTACACAACGCAACTCCTCCATTATCCCAGTAAGGCCGAAAATACAAACTCATTACAGGCTAGGCTGTGATTTAGGGTCGGTTTGGTTTGGTTTTTTTCCCTTGAGTAATATTGTAGCTGTCAGATTTTAACAGTATTACAGCAAATACTCTGTTTTGTCGAGCAGAGAGAACGCTGACGTGGTAGTTAAAAAACCTACTCGGTGTTGCGCGCAGCGGAAATTTCGGCAGCACTTCGGCAGCACAACAAGAGAGTCAGATCGCAATAAGAATTCCCGTCTCACCAAGGAGACAAGAATCTGAAGCGGATATCTCAACCAAGTGAGATATCGGCTCTTCCTCTCATCAGTTCTAGGACTGACCTGTCGAGGGATCCTAAAAGCTATTACAAATCACACAAAAGCAGTACAATCAATTTTTATGTGGTTCGGCAAATTGCCTACGTCCACGGGGCAAGGAGTGGGAGATCTACTAATAGAGGGAGAGATTACAACTAGGGTTTACAATCACTCACAAACTAAACCCTCACACAACACTCTCAAATCCCTCACAAAGCTCTCTCAAAGGGATGCACAAAACCCTAAAAGAGACTACACAAAATCTCCTCAACTGCAACTACAAAAAGAAGAAAACCAAAAACTGCTCACTGTTTGCTCTCTGCCGCAGCCGCCAAAAAATCTCCACTAAACAAATCCTTGCACCGAAAAAACCTAGGCTAAACACACTGTTGATTTATAAAGCTCAACTTGGGCTTTGGGTACGCGAAACGAAATCAAAAAATGCCTTGTACCCGAACGAAATCAAAGATGTGAACTTCACGTTCACGTGGTGTGGCCCCCACGAAACCATAATTCTCCACCTCAGTGAAGTTTTCCCAAAACTGAGCCGACACCAAAGCAACCAAATGTCCCAACCTGTTGTGTCCAGTACGAACTCAATCCATAACAAGTCGAGAACCCGAACGAGAGTCCAAACAATCTCACCCCCATCAACTAATCCAAAACCGGCTGCATCTGAAAGACTGCCTACGTATCCTCTTGCCTAAGGAATCAAGACGAACGTAGTTCACCCAAATGGCCGCCAATGGCCTCAACAATCACGAATGTGCAATAAGTCTCGACAATGATCAAGCTTGTTGCTCGGAACCACCTTAGTGAGCATATCTGTCGGATTATTCTTCGTGTGGACTTTCACAATTTTCACATCGCCATCTTCAAGAACATCCCGAACGAAGTGATAACGAATGTCAATGTGCTTCGTCCGCGCATGAAAAACCTGATTCTTCACCAAATAGATAGCACTCATGCTATCACAATGAATAGTGACGGACCTTTGCGATATACCAAGTTCCTCCAAAAGTCCTCGAAGCCAAATAGCCTCCTTCACAGCCTCCGTAACTGCCATATACTCTGCCTCCGTCGTAGACAAAGCCACCGTCGACTGTAAGGTGCATCTCCAACACACCGGCACACGGGTCAAAGTAAACACATACCCTGTCGTAGACCGGCGCTTATCCAAATCCCCGGCATAATCCGAATCAACATAACCGATGCATAGCTGCTCACCTGTAGTGTCCCGTTCATAAACTAAACCAACATTGAGTGTACCTCGAATGTACCTCAAAATCCATTTCATGGCGTCCCAATGACCCACTCCTGGATCGTGCATGTATCTCGAAACCATGCTCACCGCCTGTGATAAATCCGGTCTCGTACATACCATCGCGTACATCAAGCTCCCAACCGCGCTCACATATGGAGTCTTCGACATCAACTCACGATCTTCAACTGACTTTGGTGAAAGACCAGCTGAAAGCTTCAAATGGGCTCCCAAAATTACACCAACTAGCTTCGTATCCATGCTAACATGGAATCGCTGTAGAACTTTCTTCAAATAAGCCACCTGTGTCAAACAAATTCTGCCCTTCTTCTTGTCTCTGCCGATCTCCATCCCTAGAATGCGCTTCGCCTCACCCAAGTCTTTCATCTCAAACTCATTTGAAAGCTGAACTTTCAACTCATCTATAACCGACCTGGAAATAGAGGCAACCAACATGTCATCGACATAGAGCAACAAATAAATGTACGCACCTCCTTTTAACTTGCGAAAATATACGTAAGGATTAAACTGGCTCCGAGTGTACGAATGACCAATCATAAAACCATCAAATCGCCTATACCACTGTCGAGGAGACTGCTTCAAACCGTATAGAGATTTCTTTAATCTGCAAACCAATTTTTCTTTTCCTGCAGCTCAGAATCCCAATGGCTGAGTCATATATATTTCTTCATCAAGATCACCATGAAGAAATGCCGTCTTCACATCCAACTGATCTAACTCCAAACCATACTGTGCCACCAAAGCTAGCAGAATCCGAATCGAAGAGTGCTTCACCACCGGAGAGAAAACCTCATTATAGTCAATACCTTCCTCCTGTGCATAGCCCTTCGCAACCAGCCTAGCTTTGAACCTCAATGGAGTGCCCTCAATGCCCTCCTTCTTCGTGTATAACCACTTGCAACCAATTGTCTTTCGCCCCTTTGGAAGCTCAACAAGCTCCCATGTATCGTTCTTATGAAGAGATTCCATCTCCTCCTGCATAGCCACCTGCCACGAATCAGCCTCCGAACTCTGCTCGGCCTCTCTAAATGTAGTAGGTACTAACTCATCGATACTCTCCACCGGTATGTTTCTCCTCTGTCTCCGAACTGCAATAGAATCCTGAACCTGAGCCGTCGGTTCTTGATCCTGCACATTTGTACTCGTATCCTCCGTGTCACCATCGTGCTCGCCTGGCGTCACCTCAGTCGGCACCTGTATGGATACTGTACCATCTGGACAATGTGGAGTTGCATCGATCTCCACTACCTGTGATATCTCCTCCGTCGGGTCGCTCTCCACCTGATGAGAGCTTGGAAGCTTCAAGATAGAAGCTTCATCAAACGTAACGTCCCTACTCAGCACAATCTTCTTATCAACTGGATCCCAAAGCTTGTATCCCTTGACACCACGCTTGAATCCTACAAATATGGCCTTCCTA